GTGTCATGTTTCACTCCTTTCTATTTTTTGCCTTTATTTTTTTGGTAGGGCAATGTAACTTTTTTTCGGCCACTCTCAGAATAGGGATTATTTATGGTCAATACTTCTATTGTGATTATTTATCTTCACTTTTGTTTTAAATATTGTCAAAGTGTGTCCCTTTGACAATATTTGTCAAAGTTTGACCAGCACTTCCGTGTGACCTATATGAAATATCGTAACATATTCAATATTTTCAGAAAGCTAAGAGTATACTCTTTCTATTGACAACAATTTTAACGTTGTGCATAAAAACATAAAAGGGAAAGGGCAGTGTATTCTCGTAAATCAAGGACTATTTCAAAATATTGGCAAATTGGAGATCGACTTTCTGAAAAGCCCAACTTTTATATGGCTTTTTTTTTCTCTAGCTAGCTGTTGCAGTGCTTTATAAGGTAACATAAATGAAATTTTGTTTTTATGTCAGCTATAAGAGCTTGAAGTCTGATTTTGTTTGACTGTATTGTCAGTAACCAACTCACTCGCAAAAATACACTAATTCAAAATTGACGCCTCGTATTTTTTAATAGATACCTGTGAACACACCTATTCTCTGATAAATAATTTTAAAGCGATTATTTATATGAAATATATTTTAGAAAATTTGTCAATATGACGTTCTTGGACGATATTTGTGAAAGTTTGCCAGCTTTTTGTGTGACCTATATGAGGTGTCTTAACATATTTAGTATTTCCAGAAAGCTTAGGGTATACTCCTTCTAACGGTAACAAATTTGATGTGTGTAAAAGAAAAAGGACAGTATTTTCTCGTAAAGCGAGGACTATTTCAAAACTTTTGCGAATTGGAGGTCGATTTTCTAAAAAAAGCTACCTTTTCTTTTGGTTAATTGTTTTTCTCTAGCTACCTATTGCAGTGCTTCTTAAAGTAAAATAAACAGAAATGTAATATTTTGTTTGTATGGCTGCTATAAAAGCATACATTTTGGTTTTCGTTCACTTGTCGCCCAGTAATACAAGTGACTCACAAAAATACACTAACGCATTATTAACGCCTTTGAAATTTTTTAGTAACTACCTGTAAATTCTTTTAATAAAAGAAGATGCACACGGTGAGTTATGCTAATAAAGCATCTAGGTCATAATATGTTTAATGTTTTTTAAGTGTCAAACCGTCTGTCTGCAACAATATTTGGTGAAGTTTAGCAAGCTGTGCTGTGTGACCTAATGAATATATTTTTATGATCGCTAAATCACCGTAGAGCTCCCATGAAGCTCTTTCTTTTGAGTATAATTTGAATATTTTGCGCTTAACACATAACGCGTAGCATTTGCCTGAAAAACGAATATTTAGAAAGACTTGGAAGTTTGAAGTTGATTTTATAAACAAAAAAAAAACACCTTTCATTTTGAATTTACAGTTAGGTAATATATAGTAGTCTGTCAGAAACTTCTAACAAAAATTGTAATACATAGTTTGTATGGCCGCTATTAGGACTCGAATCTCGTGCTATGAGAGTTTTGAACGGGACTTCGCATAGACGCTCAGTTGAGCAGAATTTTGACCTATGCAAGGCTTTCTATTCAATGTTAGTACATTGAACAGGAAGCCCATATTATATAAATCACCCATATATATATATGGGTGATTTCATATAAGAACCAATGTGTACAATAAGTACTCTATATAAAGTGTGATATGTTTATCGAATATATAGATAGATAGATATGTTCAATAAACATATCACACTTTATATAGATTACATATTGTGCATATTGGTTCTTATATTATTATATATCTTATCATACGCTTATTGGACGCCTTTATTTATTTACTTCTTACGAGGAAGGACATCTTGGAGAAGTTCGTGTATTGTGCGACATTCAACTACTGGAGGCCTTCTATGTATAGTTAAGATGCAAAATAACACATTGAGAGCTGAGACTCGGCAACAAAGTCTAAAATATGTCGCTTTTGTTTTTCTTGACCTCACCGATTGCAATATTTCAACTCGGGCCCCTACGCGCAGGATATGCAACAACAAAAAAGTAAAACAAAAATATAACAGGGGTGTTTATGGACACGCTGAATACTATGTTACATTTAGAGAGGCGTATGGCGGACGGATTTAAACAAGCCACGCATGAACATGGCAGAATTCTTTGCTGTTACTTCATACACACGTGCAACGGAAACGCTCCACTCATTACAAAGTCATTTTTTGCCAGGAAAACGAGGGCACATCGGCCTTCCAGACATTGAGTAATCGTTTACGTCCTGTCAGCACGGGCTGTCCAATTACCCTAATTATGTAATCACGTACTTATGGGCACCGAGAGCGATGCCCTAGTTTTCCGCGGGCGCGTGTTCAACCCCTGACGCAAGCGTCACCAGTGGGAATCCCGATGCTGCTGCCGTTCTTACACACCAAAAGCCCTACTCGCAAACAAGTCCGCATTCGCCCACACCAAGCGCGGGGGCACTGCGCATGCGCAGAAACCACATTCACGTGAGCTGAATCGTCTGGGCATGCGCACAGGCCGCGCCGAGAGCAGCGCCACCGCAGCGAAGTGACGTCAACGCCCAGCGCGTTCAACTCCTATAAACAAACAAATCGCAGCGCCCCATTGGCACGCCGCTGGCGCCGCGCATCCGCGATGGGGTGTAGGCAAGAAGAGCCGCGTCCCGCATCAGCAAACCACTGGAATGTGATGTTGTCGTCGTCGATGTGAGCCTCCGTCAGGGACGGATTTATGGGTCAGGCCAGGGAGGGGCGGTGAGCACTCGGTTGCCCGGGGGGGAAGGGACCTGTTGAGTTATGACGTTACGGTCGAAACGTTGACCAGATCTATTCTGTTGACCCAGTATTTGCTATGTCACCAAAAACTAAACTTTTGGCTGGTGTATACGAATGATTTCATTAAAACAAAGTTGACCTTGGGGAAGTTGGAAAGGGGGGGGGGGGGTCGCCCTTTCTTCTAATTTCGCGTTGGGTTTGTTGACTCTACGTCTTGCTAGCAACGTCTTGTTACTTTGGTGGCGTGAGCGAAATCAGGGAGTTTTCGTAGCTCCTTTTTAAACTTAAATTCCCTTTCCTTTATAACAATTATCTCCTTTCCCCTTTGGAGAACGTTGAAACCTTTGGGGGCGGTTTTATCGTTGTGCCATTCTATGTTGTTGCTAAATGAAAGATGTCCTGTTTCCTCGCTGTTTTTATACTTTCAAGTTTTGAAACCCCTGCTTGAAATTCTTATGGCTGCCGCGACCAGACAGTGCAATGTTTACTCCGACTAGTCTATTTATTGTGGAGATCTTTCCTTCTTAGACGTATGTCGTAAAAATATCCTTGCCTATAATCAAAAACCCCGGCCAGCCCTGGATCACTGAACCCCCCCCCCCCCCCCCTTGATTTTGGACAGTGGCATTAGAGTTAGGTCAGACAGTCAGTCCGACCGTCCGTCTGTCCGTCCGCCCGTCACTACGGATTATACACCGTCTTTTTCGACGCTTATTCAAGCCAGTGTTTGATACACCGGTTGTCGTTATCGGTTTAATCTTGGGAAAGAAAAGTGCAACAACAAATTGCCTTTTTTGGGGCGAAATTGTTTTTAGAACATTTAACTTTTGTTATTACGCCGAGCAGCTAAGGTAGCAGAACAAAAAGAAAACGAAAAGCTCCGGTTGACTATATGTTAAATAAGCACCCTTATTTAACACGGGAGGAGGCGAAGGAGGGTATATTCCTCCTCCCTCCTCCTCCTTCGTGATCCTGCCTGCTACTCCTGAACGAAAGGGCTCCGGTTCGAAGCCGGCCGAGGGACAAGAGAAAAAAATCATTTTTGGGAGTAATGAAAATTCGAATTCGTTCCTCCTCAGCTCATCCTCCCTTCTCCTCCTCCCCTCACGGGGGTCACGTGATCTCGGGGGGGGGGGGAAGGGGGGTCACGTGACCCCCGGACCTGGGCGAGTCACGTGACCTGGGGGAGTCACGTGACCTCACGGTTACGCCGACGGCGACGGCGTCGGCGACGCCGTTCGAGCCGGAAACGGGCGCCTAAGTGCTGCGCTCAAAAATGAAAGTCGCTGTAACGCCGAATTAGAGCGCAGCTCTTGAGGAGGGGGGAAGGGTACTAAGGGTGGCTATACCCCTCCTCCTCCCTCCTCATCCTCTCTGCTTCTCCACCTCCCCTCCTCCCTCCTCTTCCTTCTCCCCTCTTCCTCCCCTCATCATTCAAGCTCCTCCCCTCCTCTCCTTCCCTCCTCCTTCCCGCGCGGTGCATTATGGGAAATATCCCATAATGCAACGCGCGGAACTCGTGACGTCACGTGACCCTCGTGACGTTACGAGTCCCGCGCGGTGCATTATGGAACATTTCCAATAATGCACTGCGCGGTTACGCCGACGGCGACGCCGTTCAAACCGGAAACGGGCGCCTAAGAGCGGCGCTCTACAATCTCACGATCAGGAAGAATTGGGCATACCGAGCTGAGCGCGTCTGGGCATAATTTGAATTGATTTGCTGTTAAATATTTTGCCCCTACACTCGATTGTTAACAATATTTTAATATTTCTAATATTTTAATACACCTAAAAGTCGTCATTACTGTTCATGTCAAGGTTTGTGCGAGTCTTAATTTTCCTACAATTAAATGGGCTACAGGCATCGTTTTCTGTCCACACATATGCACTACATCTGGAGAAGTTTCCCATCTATACTTTTGTTTATAAATGTGCATGAGTATAATGTACTTGTTAGTTTTACTGAAAATATTCTCTTGATGCGCTTGTCTCAGCTACGCTTGAGCCTGCAATCACGGCAATAACCTGCGGCTGTAAACACTTATTATTCATTTTTACGAAATCTTGCTTGATTAGGCTTTCTTGAATAGGCTCCTTGATTCAAAAACGCCGCCAAACCAACCTTCTGCGTTCAACAGGAGCTTAAAAGGATGACAAGCTCCAAGCGCGCCCACCAGAAATGAAGAGACGTTTCAAGCAACATAAACAACAAATCTTTATTACAATGACAATGTAGAACTACGTCAACATCGCTCTAGTTCTTTTTTTTTTCCAATCTACCATATTCTTGTCCAGTTTTGATGAGTTGGTGATATCACTAGCCACACTGCCAAAGGATCTGACTAGAAACATTTGACCAGTTTAGCTATCACAATGCGACAGCACGACAAAGTAAGAATCTGGCAATGACCAACGAATAGCCACATTGAACATGCAAGCAACGTTGTAAATACATTTTTTTAGTATAAAACAAATTGTAAACAATACACAATTCAAAAATATAAAACTAAAATGCCTCTGTGGTGTATAGCGTCCACTGGTTTAATACGCAGGATTTTATAAAGATGTGCGCCAACAAATAAGGCAGACAAAGTTGAAAGAACATCCTGGATAAAATGAACGCATTCCCGATCGACATTCTTAGGGTGCCGTAGGGTACAGTACTCTATAGTGCACTTTTGCGCGATGTTGATATACACTTTGATCGTTTACCTCTATGCAACCGCGTGTTCGACTTATTTGTCTTGGGGAACGACTAACAGGTTTTCAATCTTGTTTTTGTTTGTATCTACCTTACTTCTATTATAAGCTGCTCGCAGTGTGTGAAAAATTATCCTCCAAAAACGAGATTCTTCGTAACTAGACCCTTCCAAGTCAAACCGGAGATATTGCTTTCGTAAGGCTCTCGGCGCACACTTTTCAGTTCAACACTGTGACGTCCCCACCTAACATTTTGTTGAAACTCGATATACTATGTCATACAAAAGTGGTGCAATCTATGCTTCTATCACAATAGAGGTGTGACTATAGAAAATGCTGACACTTTCTCTACCCACACTCATCAATAACCAAAAGGATCACCGACGCAATTGGAAACTCGTGGAATCCAGACAGCAGAAATTCACTGTTCTAGGTTATTTTCTTGTGTAGTTAGGCGTTGCCGACTTGTCAGAAAAGTCCCTTTTCGGAGTCAAAATTTGGGTGTATGCATAAGAAGTCGACAAAGACGTTGAATAACGCAACCAAATAGAAACAATGGAAACTAACTTACAAGCTCGGTGACATAAAAATATAAAGCGAAAGTCTGCTGGACTAGAGGTTAATTTTTGTTTTAGTTTAGTCTTTCGCTTTATCTATTCTTGCATACACAACAGGTAATATAAATCATTCGTTATATTAATTCGAAAATAAGATTCACACATTAATTATTATTAGGTCGCGGTCCGCAGTGTAACATTCTGCTTCTCGCTTCTGAGCGTATCCGGTGAGCAGCGGAACACTTAACATTATTCTGTACCAGAACTGACCAACGCAAATCCTTTATGAAAAAAAAAAAAATCACCAGAACCAGTAATTATGTAGTACGCGCACTGCCAAACCTTTTTTTAAACAAATCAGACGATAGAACGGAAAATATCTCTAGCCCAGAGGCTCACTATTAGGCGCTAATGCAGCGTAACAAGAGCTATTAGTACCATTTTCATCACAGTCCATTATTTCAATGAGTATTTCAACGCTCGTTATCTACTCATAGTTATCTCGTGAATTTGATTAACAAGGAGCTGATCAGGGCTAGAATCGTAACCCATACACAAGGTACATATCATGCGTCTGAACAAATTGGCCTTGCTTTTTTGCCGCCTGAAAGCTAGCACTTGGACTGTTATTAGGGTTTGGCAGATAGGTCAATTTTGTACGAGTTTCTGAAAATAGAAGTAAACCATAGATTATAACTCGAACGACCATTCTCTGAATCGTTTTCATGCGCAACGTTGGTGTTCTACGACAAGAAGAGCGATAAATCAGTCCTCGTACTGCTAACAATTGTTGAAACGGCATTTCATCGTTTTGTTCTGAGATTACTCAATGCACATAAAAATAAAATTTAAAACACAGATCACATCAATTAAAAAACACTAAGGGAAGGAAAAGTATGCGTTGTTGTCAACACATATATTGTGTTTTTGTACGAATGTGAGACTGGTTGTATTCGTTATAAAAAATTACGATGTTAGCCAATCTCCGGCATCTTCGTTACTTAAGTATGTATGCGTCTGCTTTTGTTTTTGTTCCTCCTCTCGCATTCTGTGCTGCAACAGAAAGTTGCATGGTTTTATTCTCAATGAACACGTCAGTTGAAGAACTTTGTAAGCAAAATCATAAATGTTGTTCCTAATATCGTGGCAAATAAAATAAAGTTGTAAATACTGAACACGCTCAAATCTATTAGAATTAGTTCGAACACATTAACGCTTATGAAACGCAAGCTTTAAATACTAAAAAAAAGTAACTCAATCCATTATCATCAAACATTGTTGTCTTATGTGTTATTTTCACATCTCAAGGGTGCCCCCAAAACAAAATGTATGTTTTTATTTAGAATTTAAGGCGAGTTAAACGAATTTTAAGAATAAAATAGATAAAACAAGATCTTTGCCTCATTGTATGTATGCATTGTAGCTACTGGCAATTTCACGGAGAAGCGTATTCCTTTCATTATGCGGTGCGGGTGCCTCGAGGATTCTGACACGTGGTGAGCAAACATATCACACGAAACCCCACGTGACATCAAAGCTCAGTCTGACGAGCTCGGCGACAACAGTGACGTAGTGACAATGGCGCATTACTCGACGTTCTACAAGTAATGAGATGATCTTTCGATACCGCAACCTCTTAAAACTTCCTTCCCCGAGCTGCGACAAACAGAATGCCCCTGCTTATGCAATGTCCTCGTTTTGCGATTACTGTGACGTCACGATACAATCCCCCCACCCAATTAAAGAAAAAAAGCATTGACTTGGAGCTTGCCAATGGCGCTGCGTTCCCAGTCAATCCTGACGTTCATCCCTAACCTAGGTCGTGACACCAAAGCAATTTTAGATAACCTCGAACGAGTAAACAAATCCACTCCATCCTATGAAAAAAACACGCTTTTTGGTTGTTGTTTTTAACGTCATCACTGTAGTCACGGACAGGATAAAAACGACAGTGCGTTTCTTTTGAATGCCCAGCCTCCAGCGCACGCGCTCACGTTGCCTTCCACCGTGCTTCATCATGGCGTGCAAGCTCGGATCTCACGAGACGCCGAAGCGCTATCGAAGGTGGAAAGCTCGCATTAGAGGCGGGACAACTGAAAGACTTCCCTACCATTCTCATCCTGTCAGTCAGACACCATAGTTAATGACCGCAGTGCCGTCTAGCTCTTGTGTATGCAACACGTCGCGACGACCAAGGTACAGATGCCTGGCGATTTGCCACGCAGTTTCATCGGAATTTAGCTTTCGTTCCACATGAGGATTAAATTCACCAAGAATTACCCCATGTCGTGTTCCCGAGGCAGTATTGGTAAAGAGGAATGGATATGCCTGGTATTGGCTAGGACTATGTCGAACTGACCGATGCGTTATGTTTTAGAATGCCTTCACTAATTATAACACTGTCGAACGCGTCAGAGAAAGTGACCCTTGCTACGCAATTACACAGCACGAACAAGGAAGAATTTCAAGTGTAACGGTATCGAAAGACAACGAAAAACGCTGGTTCGCTTTTACACCGACCTTTTCTTACATTCACGGAGTCCACGAACCACGACGGCTATTCGTTCTTGTTGCAGTGATTCATAGGAAGAAGCGGCTGATACTCAGTCGCGTCCGAAGGTGACGTGGAAAGGTGAGATCTTGCTCTCATATCGAAGATTCTTTTCGCCGAAACGTTCTTGCTCCGGTACTTGAACATTGTTGTACTCCGACGTTTCTACGGGTTGCTCCACTGGACGAGCGTGCAAAATACGAAAACATTACCCTACTCAGCCGCAGAGGTGATTCATACGCTCAAGTCTCTCAATCATCAAGCTTTGGGTTAACCTCACGCAACATAATTTACGAGTCTTGTAGACGGGCTTCCTTCGTAAAATTTCGTATTGCGTTCCATAGGAAACATCTGCACTAAGAGAGTTCCCGGACAGTTAAGGATGTCCTGAAACAGCCGACCTCGGCTATAGACCAACTAGCGCTCGAAGTCATTCGTATATTTAGGCGCCCCTGCCGTAGTTCTCTTGAAAATGCCAACATCCCGCTCAGCGCACCTCACCTTCAAACTTTAAATCTTTTGAGGTCATGACTCACAAATGTTTTCCAAGTAGTCAGCCATTGATCTTCCTTGCATTCTCTAAATTCTAGACCGTTAAAACGGCGCTTTTTACACTCAGTCGAAGCCCTCGGTCACCTGAAGCGCAGCGGTATATAGCCCAACTTTCCCAGACGTCCCCGAAGGAAAAGGTTATTCTGTGTTCGAAAGCATTCGCTAAACTGGAATACACTTCAGCGACAAAACTGTAAATCCCATTCGAGCGCCGAAAGCGTCGTCCGTACAAATTCGCCACGTCATTCACGCTAGCCCTTTCACTCCTTGATGTCCTCAGCGTCATGCCCAATGCAAGTGATCATCGAGTCAGTGCACCTTCATGAAACGACACAGATGCCAGCAGTCCCCCTACGCCGAGCATAGAACTAGTTCCCGCACACTCGAAGCACTCAGACACAAAACGCTGATGGCCTTGATGCGGTTCATCGAGTATTCCGCGTCGATTCCCGGACTGCCACAACCGGCTGAGCCGCCGGTGCAGCGGTGCGCGTCGGGGAAGAGCGTCGCATGTCCATTCACCTTGCAGATCGACTGCCGTGGCACGAGGTTACCAGGGTCAGGTGAAAACGTAACCCACAGAGTCCTTCTTCGTCTTGAACTTGCTCCAGCGGTTGCTGTTGCAGGTGCCCGGCCCGGACCACCAGGCACCGATGTCCGGGTACACCTGGAAAAAAAAAAAAAGAGAAAAGGCCGTGTTGCTGTTTTACATCGTGCCAACGCGGCGTCTACACAAAGCGTTCACAAGAAAAAAGAACCGTGTTTTTCGCTCCGTGTAAATAAACTACGCATCGCAGGAAACTCAAACTACGTGAGAATGTGACGCTAGCGGTTGGGAATAGAAAGCAAAAGTTTAAGAACTTTACGTTCCTCGGATCGAAAGATAATTGAGGGAGACGAAATATCATTACGAGCTGACGCCCACCTAGGCCTAATGTCGTCAAAACAAGAAGTCAGATTGTAAACGAGCGTGAGATTTATATCGGTAAAAAAACACTTGTCGGCAAGAAAGAGATTGTTTACTATCTTGTTGACAAGTTGTATTCACTGAAATTATTCTTAAGGGCGCCCACAGCGTCATTTCTTGTTTTGAAAATAGGGAATTTTCGTAGATCGTTTTCCCTACTCCCCTACGCTTTCCGCAACAAAGACGCCGCTAGTGCGCATGCGCGCCACTGGCCTTGACTGCAGGTTTCCGGATATCATAGGGCGCTGCGGACAACGTTGCGGGACGGAATAAACGATCTATGAAAACTCCCCAACATTATTAGGCATAGATGGACGTCCGCTCATAGAAATTTTGTCGTTCTCAATTATCTGTCGGTCCAGGTACAACGGCATGTTCTCAAACTTTCGGGTTTTATCACAACCGCTATAGCGTCACACTCACAGGAAGTGTGAACATCTTGCAATAAGTAGTTCATTTACGCGGGCCGAAAAACACGGTTCTCCTTTCCCACGAACGGCCGGCACTGTATCGCCGAGCGCCCTTCCGACAGCAGTGAGGCAACACTCGGGTCCTAGCTGTGTCTGCCTTCGATCTCACTGGCATGATGTCGAAATGCTGGCGCACGGACTTCAATTACTTTAGGTGGTGTTGGACGTCCGCGCACCTTGTGCAACTGCTGAAAGAGCCGCGTTACGGAAACAGACGTGACTTTTAAAGCAGTATTTTTTTTTTCTTTTTGTATGTCTCAGTCGCGTTGGAGCTGCGTATGTGAAATGTTTACTTCAGTTTTAAGAAGTTGAAGACACATCGAATCTCAGTCTACCACACACCATCGGTTAAAAAAAAATATTTATACTATAAACACTTTAGAACACGGAAGCGTGAATATTTGCGTGTCGCGCAGATGACCCGGAAACAAGGAGGTTGCAGGAAGCAAGCCGAAACTAGGGCGCGGCTGTAGGTGTGTTTTCAATTTGCATCAGATAGTGAATAAATTTAGGCTACATGTTCCGTCTTGTCTACGGTTAGATTTTTTTTTTTCCTTATAGCGCTTTCTTTGCGAACGAAATATTTTACGTATAAAATATGTTGCTTGTAGCGATATTAAAACAGAATCCGAGATACGTACTGCTTCTAACAGATTTGGAGACTGCGTACTGGAGGATAATACATCCTGCTATCATTGTCTGTAAATGTACGTGAGCGTATATTAAAGGGATCAACAGGAATGAAAACAAAGTCTATGGATGTTCCTGTGTATCTTCGTGTTGGGCCTTGTAACGTTTCCAAGACTGCAAACTACGTCTTTTAGATCGCATGGTTTACATTAGATATTTTATGGGATTCGAGACATTGCTCTCCTTGACACCCAGTGAAAGTCTCGCTCATGAGTGGCATGAAGGTATCGAAACGCATTTTTTACTTTATGGAATATTTGAATTTTTATTGTTAGCCGACTGTCACTGATGATCATGCCAAACACAGTTCTATTTAAGCGAAGGGTTGCCCATTTCGAACTATTGTCTCGCAGCGTATTATAACTGAGTGCACAATTATTATGTATCTGTGGTTTTGACAGGAACAAATAACTATGTTGAGGTAACTTGCAGTGGAGTTTCCAAATTAAGTTTTCGCACATCCGTTCAGTGAGCAAAATAATGACGACTTCTCTCAAACTCTGATCGGCTGGCTATACACTTCGCCACAATTCACGGGTGCTAAAACTATTTTTTTTTTATATAGCTAAACTTAGTTGTTTTTTGTTTTTTGTTTTACAAAAACTGTATACGACAAATGTTAGTTTAGGTACTGCTCATAAAAAGAAGGTGCATTTTGAATATGCAGTGTGCTTCTTCCAGACTTGAACGTTACTTGTACCTAGTTCCATTTTTCTTTCCCCAGACTTGTACCTAGTTGCTTTTTTTTTTCTGTAAGGAAGTAACGACCTAGTTACCTTTTAAGAGAAGGAACGAGTAACGCATTTTCTTTACTTTTTGCTGAAGTAACGTCTAACAGCTTTTAGTTACTTCTGGAGAGGAACGTACACAAGTGTCCGAACCTACTTCTTACCGCAGCTCACGCCCGCATTTTTCACGACAAGAAACCACTAGATAGACCGCCGATGTGCACGAAGTATGTCAGTGTAGCCACGGTTATCCCCGAATGAACGCGCTTCAAAGCAAGGAATTATTAACGGCCAGAAATATCGGAAGAGGTATACTGCTTCATAAAAAGAATATTGTCGCGCTCGCAGCTGACCAAGTAGGCAGCGCGCTCGTGGCCTAACGGTTCGTGGCCTAACGCAGAAAGCCAGGGTTCGATTTCTGGTCGCTGGTACGCATTTTTGTTGACTCTAGTGTAATGTTCTGGTAAATTCGAGAACCGTGTTGCTGATTCGAGGTTAGAATGTTCTACATGCCGAACCCGATTGTTCCAGAAGCCCACGCGGGTACAAAAGGTGCACCGAGTGGCGATCTGGAGTCAGTCTCGCCCCAGCGCTCGACCCTGCTGTTTCGCCGACATCGACGCCTGCGACGCTAGCCTTTCTCTATTTTGTTTTGGGCACAAGTTCGCCCCATTTAACGTTTAGTTTCTTCAGTTATTCGCCGCCTCATCATCATTTGTCAATGTATTCAGAGTAACGAAAAAACGGGTTTCTTTCAAACTGACGTAACGCGTTCATTTTGAACCGCAGTAACGAGTAACGTAGTCCTACCTCTCACTTCTTTCCACTTTAGCAGAGCGAATACTGGAGAGGAGGTCCCCCCTCTCCTGCGTTCGCTCTGTTAAAGTGGAAAGAGCTGGGAGGTGCGTCACCGACTATGGTTACTTTTTAAGCTCGTAACGAGTGAAGGTATATTAGTTACTCAACTTAAGTAACGCGTACATACCTGGTTTTTCTAACAACTAAAAACACTTTACAAAAAAAGAGGCACTTTAATTAAGCAATTGCTCCTCCGGAATAGGCTATATGTTTCTTACGAAACGTACGCTGAAGAGACCGACTCGAAAAAAGCAATATGCTCACCTTAGGAACAGGTGGCGCGTGAAGCATGGCGCACAGCCTGCACCAGAAGTAGGTGTTGATGAACTCTCCGCTGCCCTTCCAGCGAAAGTACTCGTTGTACAGGGAGTCGTTGCGGTCCAGTACGTGCAGGTAGTCGGCCAGGGCCTTCTCAGAAGGGAAGTCTTCGACGTGCACGAAGGAGTGGTCGGGAGAGGCACGCCGGTAGTCCTCGGGACGGCCTCCCATCGCTATCGGCACCACGTCGCGGCTGTGGGCGACAAGGCAACGAATTGTCAACAACATGGACGAAGGGAAACAGAAAAAAAGAGAGGAGAAGGAGATGGGAGGGCGTGGGGGTGGCGTTAGACAACACCTCCTAGAGAAGAAGGCCGTAGCGCTCCGAGTGGTTACGTCAAATTGTCGGAGAAGGAAGCACATGGCGCAACTACGTGAAAAAAAATATGTGGCATCGATGTGAAACAAATATTTTTTTGTCGAGCGGCGCGGTGGTGTCCGCGCGCGTTTATCCGACATTAATATACGTTTTAAAAGCGCAATCGTGCACAATTTATCATATTACATATATATATATATTGTTAGGAAGGTGAAGACGACGACGGGGCAGTGGCGCGCACGACCATCCCGCGCCAGGCCCCACGGGCAGGCTCGGCCTCCATAAATCGTATGCTTGTTCGATCATCGTGTACCGTCCTATCCTTTCTGCTACCGACAGCATCATATATATATATATATATATATATATATATATATATATATATAAAATCCAGTCATCCCCGGAGGGAGCGTGTACGAGCAAGAGATGGGTCGGCAACGTTAAAGGTGCTGTGCAACAATTTCAGTGCTTTGCTCAAATAATTTGGGAGTTGGTGTCTCGACCTTTCTGAAGTAAAGAACAAAAAACCGCTTTTGCCTGCATGTCCTAGTTTTTATTTGAAAAATAGACAAAGATTAAGGTTTTTGGCATTTCTCAACTCCTTCACCAACTTCCGAGTCACGTGCGTTATGACGTCACTGGACGTCGCACGGGGTTCCGGTGAAGCTCTCTCTCTAGAGCCATCAGTGAGCAGCGAGAACTCATCCGCTCACGAACGCGTGACCACGTGCTGGCGCAGCGCGGACAATATAATGAAAGGAGGGAAGTTTCATCCGGGTCCGCCCATACCCGTCCGGCCCTATCCCCCTCCCCCTCCGGCTTCTGGCGGCTGTTTGCGGTAGCAGATAGAGCCGACGGTTTTGTGGACCTAGCCTAGATGGCGCCACTAAAACTCCGTATAATAAAAGTTTTGTCGATGACACCAGGATTTTGGCACATTTATATTTATGTTGGAAAGACAAGATTTATAGAAAAGTTAACTTTTATCGAGCAGGTATTCTCACAAATAGACCGATCTCACCAGCCAGTTTGACTACGCCACCGCTGCCGCAATGCATCGCGGGAACTTTAGTCTTTCTGCGCGTGCGACAACCTCACTGGATCTCTGCGCGTGCAGGGCACGAGCAGTCTCGTGCACTGCCGATTGCCCCTTGTGAACTAAAGTTATGGCTGCCTCGCGCATGCGTCGAACGCTTGGTGAGATCGGTCTATTGCTACCTTTCTAAAAGACCCCCATTGACGTCATGCCGCGTGGTTCTCATGGCCGCCGCTCGCGGCTGCAGGTCGGGGAATATTTTATAAGTTTTGCCTCGCGATTACGCGGCGAAGTCGCAACGTTTCGGAGGAAGGAGGTGTGCTTTCTCTTAGTGACAAGCTAAACAATGCCAAAAGTAGAAGATGCCAATCCTCTCAACGTTAAAATCGTTGCACAGCTCCTTTAAGCCTTTCGTTCCACACTGCTGCCGTTGCTCTCGTGCGAGGTTCTTTTGATACTTATTTTCTTCTTCCCGTCGTTTCTCTGTCGTCACAGCAGTCTCGGGTAATTTTTTTTTTTTTTTTTGTATTCACTTGATATTACGGCATTTACGTGGACTCGTGGAACAAGTCCTGCTACGGTTTGAGTGACATGTGTGGTAACTAGCCAACGATGACACTGGTCGATTATCGATAGACCTCTCTCTTGACAGAGATTTTTTGGAGCTTGTGTTCAAATGTTTTCGTGACGGATATTGTGGCACGTATGGATACGATCGACAGGTGAGAGGCAACCTATTTAAGGGCTTTCTTGGTCATGTAGGACGCGAAATAAAGGGCTGCAGTCGTTTGTTTTTTTTTTGTTTTTTTAATCATGTGATAGAATGGAATCTCTTTCTTCTTCGTTATCCGTGTGCAGTTGCGTCGACATTTGTAAATATGCGTGGTTGTATTGCAGTCTTTACTGGAAGGGGAATAACAAGTTTATGTGATTACTGAAAGTGCGTTGTTTGTGGTTATGTGTTTACATTAAAGTTATTTTATTGCCTTTACCGCGGTTATACTAGAATCTTAACTGTATTAAGGTGATAAATAGTATTATTGTAAACAAAAAAAAATATATTTCTTTCTAAGGCAGCTTGGGCACATAGGGAGGAAGTAAATTAGTTGACTGTAAATAGTAAGTTTAGCACCCCTACCACACGAAAACGTTAATATATTTTCATTAAATGATATGGGATTTGATCAGCTCGCGGTCTTAAGTGATTATACGAGCGTCGCAAGCTGATCTGTCGACCCCATAATGTCATTCGATCGAAATTACATTACGTTTGCAATGTGGCCGGGGTATAATGCAAACATTCTGTGACTGCACGCGATAACATCGCTTACCTGAACGTAAGTGACACTTGTCTAGCAGTGTCCGCGTTGACTACTTCTACCTGGTTTTTAACTGTGGTATGTTTTGCTGTGTCCAATCACTGCGTGTCTCGCCAATTTGTCGAAGTATTTTTGTATAAAATATGCATTCCTCCAATCACTGCGTGTCTCGCCAATTTGTCGAAGTATTTTTGTATAAAATATGCATTCCTACAATATTTGCGTCACTGAGTGTTTTCGACTTAAAACAATCTCATTTTTCTATAGAGGCCTTATAGACCGTTTTACTGAAAGAGGGCGAGAGAGAAAAGCGGAAAGGGCTACCCGGGCCTTTCCCCCTTTCTGATTGTGTAGAAAGAGTGAAAGTCCCGGATGAGAGGCTTCGCCGGTGTTGGGTGTGTGTCTGCTGTGCCCGAACTTCGTTCGCGCTTTCTTTCCTGTTTTAAAGTCGCAAACTTAATTAGAGCCAGAGGCTTTGATGGCAACAATCCCCCGGTCATCGGGACACCATTGCTGCGTCATAGGGTGCAGGAATAAAAACAGAAAGCATAGAATACTGTCCAAGGACATATGTAGCTTGCAAGGAATCCGGCAAGGCGAGAGCGGCTGCAATGTCTTTAAGCTCCATCGCATTCCACATGACCCCTGTCTCCGGCGGCAGTGGATTGCTTCCGTAAACCGAAAAGGCGTCTCCTCAACGCCATCCCCTCGACTTCGCTCGGAACATTTCGTGAGTGGAGCGCGCACCAAACGCTGTACCGCCGATGAACATGGGGTACGCTCGCAATGTGCGTGCGAGTTTTCTGATGATAACTGCTGTTTCAGCTTGTAAACTTTTGTAACTGAATTTATATTAATAGCGATAATTTGCAGTGGTGACTGACTCGATTTTATCATCTACAACACTTGGTTGAAGGCTCATTTCCGCCCCCGGGTGAGGCTGGAAATTGTTGAAAACGTATTTCTATTGTTGTTTTTTTCTAATCGCGATCTTCTGCGCGATACCAGGGAGCCGGCAAAAGCGTCCTTGGAGTGCCGCTGGTGGGTTGTTTCCGTTGACTAAGGCGCTTTGAGGCGCTTGATAGTCGCTGCAGGGAACGTCTCGTGTGTTGCGATCTGCGTTTTCGAGCCCAGTGTGCACGTTTCTTTGTGTGGGTCATGGCATCCGCCAGTGTGGCGACGGGGGGAACAGCGGCAGCGAACGTGCCAGCTATATAAACTGGAGGTGAGTACCCAAAATATTGCATCAAATAGTAAGATAATTCGTGCCTGCTTCGAGGCTTTCTGCGGTTCGATAAAAGTACCTCTGAAGCGTCTTCGTCGTTCATTCCCAAGGAAATATAAGAACCGGGACACGAGGATAAAAACAGCAGAGCAAGACGATATTTAGCAGCTCCGGGCGTTTACAAAGTTAATTGAGGTTCCCGTTTCGTGTATAACTTGTTGATTACAACTAAAAGCGGCTACGTTGAAATAGGCCCATTGCAAGCAAAAATGTTTTAATGGTTCATCATTTCCAGTCATGCGGAAAACAATGGAGTTTAAAAACATTCCAGCCATACTTGCCTTGCCAGATTCCATGCAAGCTACATAGGTCCTCGGACAGTATTCGACGCTTTCTGTCGTTATTCGTGCACCCTATCACCCAGCAATGGTGCCCCGATGACCGGGGAACTGTCGACATCGAAGACCATGACTCTAATTAAGTTTGGGAGTTTGAAACGTAGAAAAAAGCGCGAACGAAGTTGGGGCACTGCAGACGCCCAACACCGGCCAGGCCTCTCATCCGGGACTTCCACTCTTTCTACACAATCAGAAAGGAGGAAAGCGCCGGTAGCCCTTTCCCCTTTTCTCTCTCGCTCTCAAAATGGCGCTACCCACGATAAAACGGTCTATACACTTACCTCGTGCCATTTCGTACCGATTATTTAGCGTTGTAATGTTTTGCCCGTGTAATAAGGTGCTTTCTGAACCCATTGCTATGTGCAGCTTTTATTTTTGGTTAACAAGACACGCGTATGTGACTGAAAGCGCGTTACGACAGTCGATCCACGCGCGTTGCCTTCGGTTCGACGCGCGCCCCCGATGGCCTTCCTTCACGACGTCACGAGAAGAGCGCTACTGCCTTCTCTAGGGAGTGTTGCGTCAGAGCATCCAGCTCTAATTTGAAGCGCTTGTTCTGTCCCCTCTTCTACTTGTCCTTTGTCGTTCGCGCTACCTGTTTTTTTTTTTTTTTTTTGTGATGTCAAACCAAGTATGTTATCAACTTATATTGTTAACGATTAGAAGGATTAGTAGGTAGACGTAGCTGCTAGCCCTGTCTTTGTCACTACCCACCATTTACCTCAAATCAAAGCGAGTAAGAGCGTTTTCCACTCCTCGCGCCAGATCCCACTTTCGAACGTCGGAGTTCGGCGTTCGAACGCCAGACCCAACGCGAGATGCATACGACGTTCGTTCTCGCTCTGACTGGAGGGGAGACAGCGGGCAGAAACAAAGACAGCTAGCTCTTGTGTCTAGCCACTGATCCTTCCAATAAAAGCACGGCGCTGTGACGTCATCACGAACTTTCATCTCACCCTCTCCCTCGGTTTCTCTCCGTACGTAATTACCTCAGGTAAAAGGCAAACCCACCCGTGTTCGGTGCGGCTTAAAAGGACACTAAAGACAATATCAATTCATTTTTTTTTTTGTAATGAACCCGTTTTGCGATTGCCAGTTGGGGCTTAGGAAACTATATACAGTTACTGAGAAGTAAAAACTGGCAGGGCGTATCTTTAGCGTGCTCACCCTGCAGCACACGATTGCTGCTTTCCGCCGTGCTTTGACTGAGCGCGCACGCACGCTCAGCTCGCGCTAGAGGCGGAACGACTAAAAAATCTCCATGCCAGCTTGTGCTTACTCTGTGACTTTGCGTGAGGCGAAAGTTTGTACAGATCTCAAAGCTTTTCAGAATCGTTCATTACGCGTTCGACAAAATTACGTCCCGGGCTATCTTTTTCTTCGCTTTCAAATTGTGACTGCGTCGTCACGGCAGTTGCCGTGCCCTTTTCATTGGTAAATGTCGTCACCACCGGTGCATCAATTAATGGTTCTGCTCAATTAGTTCAGGGAACTGTGAGGCCCATTCCGAAAGAATAACGATTAACAGTTCTGTAAAGATGTTGTAAAAAAAAAGTTCGTCGTCGACTGCTAAATTGAAGTATTGCAGTTTTTTGTGCCCGCTTAGAAACTTGCCTGCGGTATCCCAAATATCATATGTCGTAAAAGTGTCAATTGAGAACACTGGAGAAAAGCTCACCCACTTTCGTGTGGGACGGGAAAAAAGCTCACCTGGAACTAAATTTTATGTCAACTGCTCGTTATCATTTAATAGCGGTAGTGCTGCCAAGCTTTTTTAGGTGCCTCTCACGCAGGCGGTACACCTTGCAACAGAGTTAGTGCGACGCGATTTTTCGCATTTTACTTAGAGAAGGGGTTGACCAGTGCCAAACTTTTATTGCGTGAGCTTGTTCCCCAAATGAGCAATTTCCAACGCAACCAGTAGTATCAATAGCACCAATTAAAATGTAAAAAATAGCCCATCGATCGTTTATGTAGACAGTGTCAAGCAGTGTACACGCATCACGTCAGATCGCTTTGCTTTGGGCAAAATGGAAAAAAAAAAAACAAGATTTAAAAGAAATCAGTTCTTTTTTATTTAGTTGAGATACATTTGATTTAAATCGGACTAACACCAGTGTAGCTAGAAAATAATGATTATTTATCACTGTGTGCATTTTTAAACAGGGCAGGTTGTTTTCTCAATTCTTCCGATCAGTGGAAACAATGCGATAAAAATAATTTCAAAATTTTTAACAACTTTTTGTTAATGAGAATCCCGCCATACTAAAACAAAAACAGTTTAGTTTCTTTTTAATTTTTTTTTTGTTTTACAAAAAGACTATATCTTTTTTTTAACATTTTTTGTGATTTTTTTGTTCTTGCAATACCACGTTACTTTCCCAGTTTTAGCTCCTATCATTTGCGCTCTGATTTGATTGCAAAAAAGATGTGAGGTAACTGACGAAGGAAGTCGGAGGAAGAAATAAAGTTCAACGCATCGATATATGTTCTGAAGACCACAGCTTTTTGCTCGTGTTAAGTCCGATATAAATCTTTCTTTTGTGACTATTCTTTGATTTTAATACAGAACATACGCGCATATTTAAAGTATCTAATAATAAAGAAACGGTAAATTTAGAAAAAAAAAATATATATATATATTTTTGAGATTATTTTGACGGGAGAGCTTTCATTTAAATCATCTATAGTAAAACCGGTCTGGTTTAAATTTAAGGCATCTTGATTCTTGTTATTCACCCTGGCTGTAGCCCTCGTTCCGCTTTTACGTCAGCCCATTTCGCGTGAGTGTTACTATATTTAATTCTGGCGCAGCCTGAATAAAGAAAATACGACCTTTTTTATTTTATTTTTCGTTCGAATCATGTAAGAATTGAAACCACTGCTTCTTAAAGAAATGGTTAAATGTGGAGATTTGGAAATGCGGTGTCGGTAGACTCGATAAAGTATCATTTCATTAATAAATATTCAAAAGCTACTGAAGCTGCAGCCCTCTACACTGGTTATACTCCCCTCCCCAACCCCCGTTATTTTTTTATTAGCGGTTTCTTAAAATTATTTATTTAATTTCCGTCGTTCAACGCCAGCCGTGTAACAGGACGTTCTTGTATTTTCAAAATAAATTTCTTTAGTGAAGTGCAGAATGATCGGAGGCAAATAAGACATCTTACCATACTTCAGTTGAATGAACGTATTGCACTTGAGTGAACGCTCGATTCTTAGATTCGTATGTGAGCTTTTCTCTGCATCTGTCAAAAGGCCGGTGAGCTTTTCCCCGCATCGAACAGTTCCGCGGTGAGCTTTTCTCCGGTGGGCTTTTCTTCGTTACCCGTCAAATGAAGGGCAATTTCCGATCACTTAGATATATCAAGCTTGCGAGTGAAGTAAGTGGTGTTGGATCCCCGAATGGAAGTAAACTTTCCTCCCAAAACGAGAAACTTCAGTGGCATCTCACCGACACTAACGCTGCCAGCACTCACCCCAGGCCATTGACGAAGAACTTCTCGGTGATGTAGTCCTTGCAGTTTGAGTTCTCGAAGGCCAGGTAGAACTTGTACTCTCTGTCCAAGATGTCGAAGCAGTGTCCGGCCCTCGCCCGCGGACACTTGAGCGGGCCGCAGGCGCCGAAGATGTCCACCTCGATGTGGGCGCCCAGCTTACGGGCGTACTGTAGCCTTTGGTTCCGGGCGGCGCAGTTGGACACGAACCAGGCCACCTTCTTGGTCTTGTTGTGGTTGGACAGCACCCTGCTCGCCTCCGCCACGGGGTCCAGGTCATCGTAGCGAACGAACTTCTCGTAAGGGGCCACGATGTCCGAGTCGTGCCTGTCAGGAAGATCAACGTCGGGTAATCAGGACCAGAAGCGTCTTCGTTCATTTATTACATCCGTGTCTGTCTTGGTTAGATTGGTCAAGATGCACATGCTCACAAGAGCAACGGGCCAACTATACAGGGTGTTTCTTTTTATTCTTGCACATTTGTTTAAAAAAAACCCGTGAAAGCTACACTAGTGCGGTTTGTGCAGGTGGGTTATACGACCAGGCGGACATTATGTGGGTGGCGAATCTTTGCGATAAGTCGGCTAATTAGTTAAAATTCGTTAATTAACTTTTTAATTAGTGGAAATAGACATATAGTTTCAATTAGAAACTTGTAGAGCATCATCGAAAATTACTAAATCATCTTTTTCTGGAAAGATATAACGCCGGGGAGGCATTTTACGGCGTTCTGTAAAAGCGTTCCATTTGGCCGCGTTTCTAGATTTCGGTTTCTTATCGGAGCGGCATCACCGCGCCCGCGCTCCTGCTCCCCAGTGGCTGAGACGCACAACACACGTGCGCCGTACTTCCCTCCATTCTACGAGGGAGACGAAGAGGTGGCTTCGCGCCGCGACCACCGGGGAGCAGGATCGCGGGCGCGTAGATGCGCTCCGATAAGAAACCAAAATCTAGAAACGCATCCAAATGGAGCGTTTTTACAGAATGCCGTGAAATGCTGCCCCGGCGTTATATCCTGCTAAAAATAGTTGATTTAGGGGTATTCGATGATGCTCAGCAAGTTTCTAATTGAAACCATATGTTTATTTTCAGTAATTAAAAAGTTAATTAACGAATTTTAATTAATTAACCGACTTATTGCAAAGATTAGCCGCCCACATAATGGCCGCCTGGTCGTATAACCCACCTGCACAAACCGCATTAGTGTAGCTTTTACGGTTTTTTTTAAACAAATGTGTAAGAATAAAAAAAAAACACCCTGTATAGTCTGTTGCAAGTCAAGAAAATCGGAACAAGCTCCTCCCAGCGAACGCTGGATAAGGAAAAACCACCAGTTAGGGCTGGGAGGGGCTTTCTTGTTGCTTTTTTTTTTTTTTTTTTTGAATGCAACAAGCTATAGCTTAACTAAAGTCCGTCACGCAATATCATAAGCTTAGACACCTTTATATGATGCCATATAAAAGTGTCCTGTAGTTGCATTGAACTATTGTGCAATCAGCGCTTGCATTCAACAACGGCATAGCCTGGAGTTCGTGGCTATCTAGCTAGATAAGAAGCAATTCCATGTGACCACTTCTAAACGACGCGTATTTTACTAGGAGTAGTCAAATTTTGTAACGAACACATATCTCGTAAGTGGACGCGGTATCGGAGTCATGCCTGGCAGGGACAACGTTGACAACTCAATATTGTAGGCTAGAGCTCTTATTTGATGCGCTGACACAGTTTCCTGCTGGTGCAGTCATTTGTTGTTGCTTTTTAATCTCTTGCAAGACATCTAAGAGGGGTGGGACAGTTGTCGAGTTTAAGCCCGTCTAGTGTACGTTACCTAAGAAAGCGATTGCGCAAACTCTTCGCCACAAAGCATTTGATTAGCTCAACTGATTATGGTCCCTAATACTTTGCAATTGCGGCACTTCAGGTTATTTCGCATTTATGTTAACAAACTCAACACCAAGGCCTAAAAAATATGTATTTTTACTATATTTTTGTTGCTTTTTTGTGCTATTAAAGTAACTGTCTCATATTTAAAAAAATGTCTAGACAAATCTCTACCAAAAACGTGACACCGCATTGTCCTGACATTAACAATTACTAATAATTCAGTTACGTTGAGAATCAACCTAATAATTTGAATGAACGGTCACTAAAAAATTTGAGGAGACAGTTCCAAACGTGCCTACAAAAAAAAAACGTGTTACGTCAAATGCATATGGAAAGAGTTTGTTCTCAACCAAGTCAACATTTCCTAGAATTATCAAACCCTGTGCACTAGAATTTTGACGTCATCGCAGTAAGATCGAGCGAAGAGACACTGATTGGACACGAGTGTGACGTCAGCGTTCGGCTGGACCACGTGTCCAATCAACGCGTCAAAGGACACTCAGCATCGGGCTCGGGTCCGATTGCCGAGTTGGCACCATCCGATCGTGATGACGGTCCACGAAGAAAAAAGGAGGTCGTTCTGCAGGCCTTGATTTTTTTGGGTCAGTGGTTCTCAGATGGAGGTCTGCGGACCTTTAGAAGTTCCTGAAGGCCCTCTTGGGGCCTTCAGGGACATGTCAAGGACTTAGTCAAGAGAAGCAATAAAACTTTTTTTTAATGATGATGACTGTCCCTCAAAACTAAATTGACCAAACCATGTGTGCCAGGTCAGTAGGGCTGATTATTATCTGTTGGTTCGTGGCACAGATTTAGTGTTTACCGCTTATCCGTCTGTAATAGCGATCTTCAAACACTTTCCCCTCCCTCCTCGTGGATGGGGTACCCCGTCCCTATACCACCGATCCAGAATGGGGTTCCCCGAGACGCATGACTGACTGAGAACCACTGTTTTTGGGTGGTGGTGACCAAGTATACGGCGACCTTCCTCTCCTCACCTGTAGGTGGCAGTCCAGTTGAAGGTGTCGCGGAAGTGGGCGAACGTCTGCGTGTGGTAGGGGCACTCGAGCAGGTACAGTATCCACACCTGTTGCCAGGGTCTCCGGTGCCGGGGAGGCGTGAAACGGTCCTTGAACAAGATGGCGTCCGCCTCAGCCGCGTCGTCCTGCGACGTCACGATCTCGCACGTGTCCACGGGACACTTGTCGCGCAGGAAGACGGTCCGACCTGGAAAGACAACCGCGGGTCCCAGCCCTTCGTGTCTCGGCAGGTCTGCAAACACTGTCCAAAGACATTTCAGACCTACGTATTTGTTAGCAACGTTGCTGTCGCTGAAGCTTCATCGAGTGATTGCAGACGAAAATGATGATGAAGACTGAACGGGTCATCACAGAGCTGACAAGCAGTTTCGTCGACTGACTCAACTGGCGCTTTCCAGTGAAACCACTATGGAAACAAACACCGGCTAGGGAGATTGTATTTCAAGGGAACATTTTGAGCGTCTGGAAGTCAGCAGGCTACGCCTATGAAATATAAATACAAGGTACCAAAGAACCAGATATCAATGAAACTCAAGCTTCGCTTCTTGACAACCCATGAAGTGTTTTGTAGAGCCCTGAAGGTTCGTAGCTTAGGTTAAGTATTCTTAGAGTGACGGCATTACGCGGCTGAGTGATGCCCGCCAGGACCAGTAATATGTAAAGGGGCACCTAAAACGTTACGGGGTGCGTCTTATGTATATTTCAAAACAATAACTCAATCTCCGCTTTCCAAGCGTACAAATAGCCAAAATCACGATGATGCGTGTCCTCCTTAATTTTTAAATGAGCTATCAAGGTTCGTGGACCCAGAGTGTTAACAAAAAAAAAAAAGCACGTTCTTCTATTTTATTTTTATTTTTTTGCAGAAAAGGGTACGTGTTTGATTACTTTCTTGATTACAATAGAAAAATAGGCCTTAGATGACTGCAATTTAGGCATTTGACTGAAAACCCCGAGACTGCGACGAGAAGGGACGGACAAACACAAAGTCTCAAAATACTTTGTGTTTGTCCGTCCCTTCTCGTCCCAGTCTCGGGGTTTTTAGTCAAATGTTTAACCTTCACCAGCTCCTTTGCGCCCTAACTTTTTGTTTGCAATTTAGGGTTTTCCGTGAGGCTCATATGATGTAGGCTGAGTTATCACCATAACAAAAGGCAAACACCAAAACCTCTGTAGCGGTAAAAGTGCTCGCCTTGTCGGCAAGCGAGGTGACCGTACCTCTGGGCAGCTCTCCCCAGCCTCCCATGCCGTGCATGAGCAGGATCTTCTTGAGGCGGGAGCTGTTGCGCTTGTAGTCCTCGGGCACGAACATGAGCTGGGCCTCGATGCGGTCCCCGGCGTCTTCGTGGGGCCACAGGCTCCCGGTGTCCCCTGGCAGTGGCCTCCGGAGTCCCCCCTTCATGTACCACGGCCTCTCGGACGACCCGGAGCCGCTTTCAACGCGCTTCTGTACAAGAAGAAAAACAAAAATGTTAGAGGAAAGAAAAAGAAGGAGTAAACACAACTGGTGAGCACCGATAAGAAATTTCAACGAAATGTAGACCACATCGCATTGTACACAAGTTTTGTTTGTTTCGTTCTTGCTTTTGCGACCATAGTTACTGCTGGGCGCTCGAAAAAGACGCCGACAGCCGCACTCACCTTGCCAATTACTGTAGATTTTTGCGGTATTTGTTTATATTTATGTATTGAACGTTCTTTATTGTATTTTAAGTATTTTCACATTGTTGTAATATTGTTATCTATATATTTCTATGGTGCTGTTAAGGTGCCGATCTCTATGTTTGTGCTTGAAACTTTCAAATGGACGAATTTTTTTGCCACCTTTGTACTTGTGTAAACTGTAAAAGACCATGTGCCTCGCCAGACTTGTTAGCCTTTTACCCTGGCTCTTCTTGCAAACTCTATGAAAAAAAAAACAAAAAAAAGTAATTGAACCCTCTAAAAAATAATTTGTTAAGTACTTGAACAGAACATGTATGTCATAAAATAAACTTTCCTCAAAATAAATCAACAATAAAAAAAGATCCTTTAGCCGTAACATTTATTTTGAGAGGAACATTTGGAGTTACGAACTACTCTCGACGAAAAGTAAAAGCAATCAATGAATCGCTCTTAGAAACACTAATTCCCCCGCTTAACCCTCCCCCCCCCCCCCCCCCCCCCGCCTCCAAGAACAAAAAAAAAAAATATATATATATATATATTTTAATTGCATTAGTGTATGTTACAAAATGAACTTTCACCGAAAAACAAAACAGAAATACCGCAATATTGATTCTGTGAGACTGATTCTGAGTGCGGAGCGATTCCGAAACGTGTTTCTACTTTGGCACCCCGTCTCGAAATAGAAGAAGCACGCCGACCAAAATATTAAGAAAAAATGTTTTTCAAATATATATATGTAAATATAAATAAATATTGTGTTCAGTAATCGTGCTTCGGCGGTCTCCGCTCTTGCCGTTATCCCGGGAATTAGTGACCATGAGGCTGTTGTTGCAAATTTGTCTTGTTTATTTGATCAGAGTGCTTCCTTACGTCCTAAAAAAAAGTGTACTTTTTCGACAGGGGTGATTATGCTGGTTTGTCTAGTAGACTTGAAGAATTTTACTCGGAGTTTGAGGACATGAGCGTGACAGGTGACATTGACTTACTGTGGAATATATTTAGGAATAGAATAAAGACTCTGGTTGATATTTTCGTTCCATCGAAAATTATCACCTCGAAGCGTCGTCAGGACAAACCATGGACAAACTCCGAGTTACGGAAACTTATTAATAAAAATAAACGTGCACTAACTCAATACCGAGCTCGTAATGACTCTGCATCATACAATAAACTGAAGGAGATAGGTGTAACGTGCAATCACTTCGTCCCGGGCAAACTACTTTTCTACACTAAATGTGAAACTCAGGCAAAACCCAAAGGAATTCTGGAAGTTTATTCGCTGTAATAAAAAAATATATCGTTAAAAATCCCTCCCTGTTGGTCGAGGGTCGTCTTTTTGAGGTTGACTTTTTAAAGGCTTCCAGTTTCAATGATTACTTCAAGTCTGTTTTCTCGGATACCGTGACGGGGAATTACTGCGATTCCGAAGAAGTACCTGTTTCTACTGCTTTTATGTCTGAAATCTATTTTGATACACACGGTGTTTTCAACCTTCTAAAGAAAATTACAGAAGGTTCAGCACCTGGCCCCAATGGAATTCCCAACACTGTCCTGAAGTCTTGAGCTAAAGTTAGTTCGAGCTACTTTGTAATTTTGTTTACGGTATCGTTGAAATGTAACGTTTTGCCTCTGGTTTCCAAATCGGCAAATGTCGTTCCCGTCCACACGTCTGGCCGAAAAAATCTGGTACAAAACTACAGGTCCATCTCACTTACAAGTGTGTGCTGCAAAACTATGCAGCACATTATTTACACTAACCTAAAGAAACATCTTAGGCTTATAAAGTTCTTTAGCCTGTCTCAACACGGTTTTCGTACAGGATTTTCTTGTACCACGCAGTTACTTGAGTTCTATCACGATATTTTACAATCGTTTGATAAGGGCCGACAAGTTGACTGTCAAAAAGGCCTTCGACATGGTTCCTCATGCTTCTTATGAACAAGCTTCACGAACTAAACATAGATTTGGAAATTTTTAATTGAATTGGCGATAACCTAAATTCAAGAAAACAGTCCGTGTTAATTAACGGTTTACAGTCCCCCTGTATAGAAATAACATCCGGAGTTGCACAGGGGTCGGTACTTGGCCCTCTTCTTTTTTTAATATATATTAAGGATATTGTTGAAGGCGTCTCTTCACATATTCGATTACATGCAGACGATCGCATTTTGTACAGTTATGTGATCTGCTATGTTCAAGTATTCGCTCTTCAAAGTGATTTAGATAAAATTGATGACTGGTGTATAAAATGGCGCATACCTCTAAACGTATCTAAATGTATTAGCGTTAGACTCACTAAAAAACTAAATTAATTCCTTCATCCTACAGTATCGGTGGTGTTTACTTGAACTGGCATCGGAGTCGAAATATTTGGGAGTTATTTTTTTCGTGTGGTTTAAGATGGAATGAACATGTTGACTATATTACAGCGAAAGCAAGCCGGCAACTGGGATTTATTAAATGTAATTTTAGGATGGCTCCCCCATCTCTGACGGAGAAATTATATTTTCTCATGTGCGGTATGTTCTTGACTACGCCAGTGAGATATGGGATCCGTTCAGTCGGAACCTTATAGATCAAATCGAAAAGGTACAGAATCGTGCTGCGAGATTTGTTACGGGTAAATATGATTTCAGAACTAGCATAACTGAACTTAAATTGTCTCTAAATTGGATGCCTCTGAGTCAACGGCGGAAATTGTTCCGTCTCAAAATGTTACATAAAGTGTTTTACAACAATAGCGTAATTAGTAGGTCCAAGTATATTTTTGAGCATGCTTATGTATCAGAAAGAAGAGATAATTCAAGAAACATCTGTCCATTTCACAGCAGAACTGATGCTTTCAAATGCTCTTTTTTCGCGCGGTCCATTGAAGAGTGGAATAACCTGCCAAGTGACATTGTTGAAACGGTATTGTCAGAGCTATTTTTTTTAAAGATTCAATGTTACTTCTAACTACCGTTGTGCATTACTTCTTGAATAATTGTGTTTCAGCTTGTGTTTGTAGTGTACACATTTTATGTATGTGCCCCTCCCTACTATAATGCCTCTTCAGGCGATGTAGGTATGCAAATAAATAAAATAAATATATAGATATATATATATATTTTTAACCATACGTGTTTTATAAACCAAACTTAAAAAAAAAAAAAAAGTTCTTTCTTTGTCACTTTAAATTGCTTCTCCGCGGGCAAAACGACCAGGACGTTGATTTCTTACTGCGCTATTGTTTTAGCAAAAATGCGGGAAGGATTCAAGACTGCAGTAACCACTTAGAAAAGAAGAGCACAAAGGATACAGACAGAGAAGAGGAAGACGCTGCGGTGGGTGTGTCCCTTGTTCTTTGCCTGTGATTTTTAATTGTTGACTTAAAAAACAAACAAAAAAACATTGACGTTTTACTAACAGGCAAGTGTAAGTTTGTGAGAACATGGTTGTAAATTATCTGTCAGAATACAGTCGATGAAACGTTCGTATTTGACGCGCAAAGGCCAGCCCAGAGCCAAAAATGCTGTCGCCTATGTTTTTTTTTCGTTTTTTTTAAGTAACAAGGGCATGGCATAATTATACATAATAATATTACTAAATCCCTCGCTATTGCATCGTGACAAGAATTAAAATTAGCAGTGACCTCTATACTGGTTATTTTGAAGCATGCAACAGGTATCGCTTCCCACGCGTTCATTTCTGTCTGTTCTTGAAAATTTCGATAACAAGCATCTTTTTGTTGTTATTGTTTTCTTTTCTACATTGCTTAATTAAAGATGTTAACATGATTGTATTTCGAATGCGCGTGAACATTCGCTTTGAGTTCCGTAAAACAAACCTAAAATTGTATACGGCGGCTCTACGTGACTGCACATTCTTTCATTCGTGCTTTCGCCGGATTACGTAAAATAAATTTTAAAATACTATATAGCTTCGCAAGCTGCCACTAGAACACGTACCTCTATAGATTTTTGTTTCTTTTGTAGTTTATAACAACTACGGACGGTATCGCGTACGTATGCATGACATAGAACCCGCACACGCACGCACCTGTATATTTATTTTAATTTATAACAGGCACGGGTAGTATGACATGCATTAGGCAGCCTGTGCCGTTTCATTGCTTCAAATGGTTTCCCCGCTTCTTTGAAAAAAAAAAAAAAAAACCGGACGGCGGCAGTATTCTCAGTGTAACGTCCGCGCCTCGCGTATTTAAAAACAAACAGTACTAAACTCTCTTTTTAGCTTGCCACCAGCTTCAACGCGTATGGCTACCAGACTGTTACTTGTCCATAGGTTTTTTTAACCAGCTTTGAAAGTCGCCAATGCGTAATACCAGAAAAATATGTATTTGGAAACAACATTAAGTACAGTTCGTGTATTAGTTGCGGCAATACTCGCTACAGCCTCACAATGCTTTTGTTTAAAACTAAAATCCAGAACTAATCAATTGTTTAAAAATATCCGGTAGTTCTTTCTGTGTTTGTACAGGATACGAAAATATGAGCTGGCCCAGCGGCAGTAACACTGGGGCGGCACAAAAGTCCGTTAAGCGGGTTCGTTAATTGCGCTGTTAAAAAAAAAAAAAAAAAAAAAGTTGTAATTGATTTTTACATTTTTTGTCACAACGCGACCGTCAGTTTCATAGCTTGGCATTTTACCCCTTTCGGCTGCCACTAAAAACGAACAGCTCATACTGCCACTGGCTGTGTAAGTCTCCAAAATACGCAAAGTTTTTTTTTTTTTTTTTTTTTTTTTTTTTTTACAGCGGATCTGTTAAGGGCTAGTTTCCCCAGAATCATGTCCCCCGCAAAGAAATAAAGACACCGAACTCTGGACACCTACCACCACCTATGAACGACGGCGGCAAACCACGTATCTGGTTGCCGCCGTCGCTCATAGATGGCGGCAGCCTTTCCACTCTGGCTTGCCGACTTGCGGCAGGCCATTACTTTCCAATGTACAGCTCCGCTGGTCTTCCTTCTTCACCAGAGTAAAAAGGCTGAACGTTTTTTTTTTTTTTTCTTTTTTAAAGTTCCGCATTGTTTTTAATTAGCTCGGAGGATACATATGTGACAAAAAAAAAAAAGAACTCACCTCCATCTGACGTCCGTCTCTGCGAACAGTGCCCTTGTGGAAACCCTGAGGGACAGCATAACTCTGCTGCTGTAAGAGCAGCTTGGGCTCGAGGACGTTCGGTTGGTCCTGGAGATCGGCGTCCTGCTGCACCTCCTTGAAGCTGATGAGCAGCAGCGTACAGCAGCTGAGCCCAATGGCCGTTGCCAGCAGACGGCGCAGGCGCAGCTTCTTGCCGGGCCACATGCTACGCCATGTCTGGACCCCGGGAGACCTGGACTGCGAAGACATTGGAAGCGGGAACGGAGGATTCGGTTTCAAGCCGGCGTCGTTGCTTACGTGGAAGTGGCAGCACGGGAAGCAGGGTTTGAGTCGCAGAGCGCGGTGCTGGCGAAACGCGAAGGGAGGGGGGTTAGGATACCAGCTGTTCAGACCGGCAAATATCAGCTTTACAAAATTTTATGACGGTAACAGTTGAGTAGGGTGACACGTGTGACCCTCGGAAGGGAGGCGTTTGTGGGTGACAGCATTAGGCGGCCTCGATGAAGGATATGTGGCGTGGCATTAACAAGTACTCGTTACTTTTGCTTGCCGCCACTGAGAGACAGGTTAGATATATTATAGTACCGCGCTGGGCCAAAAATAAATCATTGATATTGTGGACGCTAAGACGAGGGCTTCTAGAGTAACCTTAGTTTTAATATTTTCTAATCGATTCCCCAAAAATTTAATTCCTTTAAACGGGAATACCTGGAACCCAGTTTTCTTTTTTTCTTCTTTTTTTCGTTAACCACTTGATTTTTATTTCCTTGGTGAAGGCTAGTTGTTGACATATAAAATACAACTTACGAGTATTGAAGCGCTTTTTCCGACAAAAAACTTGGCTCTTCTGGGTTTGATAATTACGCGTCATAAAAATTTCCCGTAAACACTGCATTGGGCGCCGCCAAGTTATCTACCTTCTTAATAAAAATGTCACACGACCCAAACTCACTGTAAATGCACAGTCGTTTGAGTACAAAAAGTATTCAGTAAGGTGACCGTGTGCTACTAGAGAATAATAAATTAACACTTCCGATGAAATACGTTTTTCTTTTGATAAATCTATCCACCTTGGAGATTTTTTCTCCATCATTACTTACAGACTGGACCGTAGGCAAGTGTACCAGCCCGAAGACCGCGAAAATTTTCCTAGACACTACCATTATATCATCACCGCCATTAAATTTCTACGCCCTCACCTTTCCTGTGGGCGATTGTGTCAAAGCGAAGAGGCCAGGCCATGCGCTACCGTTGAAGTCGGGCCATTGCTACCCAGGCAGTGCCTTCTGCAATGCATACAAAGTCAGGGTACACGTTTAGGCTCAAGATAGCCACATTCTATGTTCTCGATTGCTCTTACCCCTATCCACACAACACAATCAACGCACAGTGGGATTGATCAAGAACCAAATAACAGGCAAACGAACCAGATTTCTCCCAAGAATGCGCATTGTTTTTAGCTAGCTTGGAAATAAAGAAGATAAAATAAAATTATTGCTACTCTTACGATGTCGCTTTAAGAGTGCACAGTAGGCTTTTAGCGGCCGATGAGCGGCCTAAACATGAAATAAACTGAGCGTAGAACACTTTTACCCAAAAATATGTCACAGTGAAAAAAAAAAAAATTAAAAACTAACGTTTCTTTTTGCGTTCAGTTTTTGGTTTTTGCCGATGATGAAATTTTTTTACATATTACTCTCTAGGCCCACGGCCTGGTTCAACAAAGCAACTCCCGTCAGAACAAAGAGTTACCGCTTTTGTCCTCGCGACCGGATACACCGTTCATTGATTTGTCGAAAAAGCTCGCGCAGAAATGACTTTCGGAAACTCTTTGTTGCGTGCCGCCTGACTCAACGAAGCTACTGACCCTCGGCGGGGTTATTTCGGCTCCGCAATATCCCATGTAACATGACCCCCATCCGTCAAATTCCCAGTTCCCGGAGAGGCTAGATTTAAGAGAGGCGGCAACTCCAACCATGAATGCCATTTGCAGTTTAACGGTGGACGCCCTCCTGCCCAAATTGGTCATCACTGCGCATGCGCGTTCTTGCCGTGATGTGAGAAGAGTAGCAAAAGGGGGGGGGGGGGGGGGGGGGGGGGTTTCAGCGTTCGCCTGGGGATTGCAAACGCTGCTCATAAACCGCGTGACCCCGATTTATCGAGTTGGAAGCACTCAAATATAGCCACACTATAGTCACCGACAGGGCTAGAGCGGCAGAGCGTCTCTTTCGGATGCCCTGCCTCCTGCACTCCGCCGTTGCTTTGGCATGTGGGCGTGCACGGGCGAGGCTTGTGAGTCTCCGAAGCGTTATATCGAAATTGGGAAAAGCTCGCGCTGGAGGCGGGAGAACTGAAAGTCCTCCCTGCCGTTCTTCACGCCCTGTCAGTGACCCTGGTGAGAAGCGACGCGCTTGGCGAAGCACATTCTTTGGAAGACGAAGGTGACCGTTTCCGGCTTATTTTTGTTGCGACGCCTCGGTCTTAGTAAAACTTGCACCGTCATGCCAGTTGGCGTCCGAAAGGGGTTCGCTCCTTCCGAAAAACACGGTGCAACATTTAGCTCGCTTGTATGTATAGGCAGCGCTTTAGATAAAGAAGCGAGGACGAGAAATGTAGTAGCAGAAGGGACGTGCTCTAACAACGCCAAAAAGTAATATTTTTAAGCTACAATTAAAGCTCACAGCTTAAACCTGTTTTATTTTGTCTTGCTCGCTACGATTTTTTTTTAAATATTTTTTCTAATGAACCGCGAGGGCAATCAGACATGACCCGACGCAAAACAAATATATTACTACCTGTCAAGTGAGTGACACCACCGTATCGTTCCGCAGCTGCCGAACGATAGGCCGAATGATAGACAATTAAAGCACAAAGCAACAGGAAGAAAGGGGGAAGGTTAGAGACGACTGTTTTGACACACGTGCGCACACACACGCGCGTAGAGAGAGACAGAGATAGATGACAAGGAGTGTTTCTATGAAGACTGTTCCGAAAGTCTGCGGCGTCGCAACTCGCATTTTCATTATTGTCCGCTGACACACCGCATGATTCGTTCATGGAAACGAGTGCACGACAATGAACAGACGGACTTCACAACAGAAACTACGATACGAACGAGACAAGTGCCGTTCCAGCCATCGTGCAATTAACCGAGGCGAAGGTTGCAATTATGACGGCAATTATATTTAACGCGATTGTTGTCTCAATATCAGATTACCACCGTAATCCGATATTAAGATATAATATTAAAAAAAAATTATGTTTTACGTAGCGGCGAAAGCTAGAACTATGGTTGGCGTCTCTAAGAGGAGTTGCGCTACTTCTACTGCCCCCTCCATGACCTATACTTCCTTTTTACCTTAAGTCCAGACGCAGCCGACGCTACGAGCTGATAGTCCCAATCAGACAACGGCAAAAGGGCACCATCATGCTGCTCGTCACGTTTTTGGTACGCGTTCTATCATCGATGAACCATCATTAATTAACAAAAAAAGACCAGTGATTTCAGCTTCCAACGCTGCTTGATTGGCCCCATTGGCTCGTAGCGTCGGCTACGTCTGAACTTAAGCTGAAACCAAGTATAGACAAGTCACGGAGGAAATAGAGCATGCGCGATTCCCCTCCCGCGCACCAATCGCACTTCGAGCTTTTCTCCCCTAATGTCGCCTCCATGTAAAAAAAAAAAAAAAAAAAAAAAAGAAATGTACGTTGTGGCAAAAATTTGTTTATCGATGCCAGTGGCATACCAACTTGTTTTTGAGCGGGGGGCAAACCAGCCCCCCCCCCCCCCCTCCCTCCCAGGGCCGGGGGCGGTGCCCTTGGTATTCCTTGGGCGCTGCCGGCCAGTGTTTGCCCTGCCCAGTGGCGGCTTTTTCAAAGGGGGCAAGACACATGCCTTGCCCCCCACTGAGAACTGGGGGGGGGGGGGGGGGCAAACGCCCCCCTTGCCCCCTCCCCCCTCGGTTGGTACGCCCATGATCGATGCCAATTCTCGCCAGTATATTTTCTGGTGACAAGGATGTTACTGTCCGAGAGATTTTGTCATAACAACATGATCTGAATTGAGGCATTAAAAAAAAATTTACAAGTTAAGCTTTCCAGTGGAGCATGGCTTTCTAATTCTAAAACTAAAACTGCTCTATAATCCGTTTTCCTTTTTTTCTTTTCTACTGGCTTTGTTATACTTATATTAACACTAAAGAAATTGAAGCTGTAATATTGCATGTTAAAATTGATTACATTATTTTGTTGGCGCATTTGATTATTGTTATGATTGGTTCCAGCGTATACTCCTGTGGTTGCCATTGTACGTTTTCATTTCGACAAATTTCAGCGTACCACGCAGGCTTCTTCGAGCAGAATTGTTCGCAGAACGACGCATAGAACCAGGTCGGGGCTCAGTATGTTCCAGGTCCCTGTCCTCGTAGACCACCTCAGTCCCGAACCAGCGCACGTCCACTCCTCTACTCCCTTGTTCCCTAGATCGATTCAAGAATCGATCTAACGGATTTCGATTGGCCACCGACAGGCGACTCACGTTGCACGCCCCCTGGTCTCTTATGCGGCGCACGTCAAAGTGGCCCGGCGTCGCCCACTTCTTGATTATAGAGACCCTGTAAGAGCACCAAACAAGCTCGCAGTATAAAAAAGTAAAAAAATTAATAAATAAATGGATTGCGCGTTCCCTGGGCCTCATCACGGCCCCGTCAGGCCTTGGCTGCCAGACCGGAAGCAGTAAAAAACTACCTAAGTAGAGCGTTCATCCTGACCCGTCACCGGAACAGAAGCTGCCGAATAATGTATAAACCATTGCAATGACCGCCTTCTGCGCGCTGCCATCTGGGTGATGGCTATTAACGATGGGTATTACCGGCTGTACATATAAGGGGTGGTAGTTTGCGCCACCCAGCCTAACCCCCCCCCCCCCCCTGCCCAAAAAAAAAAAAAAGTATAATTGCTTTCCTCGGCCTTCCTTTCCTTCTGCACTTATGTAACTATCACCAAGCAGTGTGGGATATCGCCAGAATTATCTTTTAGAGCATCGGACAAAAAAAAATTAAATCTTTGCTAAAGTTGGTTGGCAGACCGACGCCCAAACAAAGCATTTTCCCATCCAATGTGGCCCGACTATACTTCGTTTTTTAGTCCAGGCGCAGCCGACACTACGAGATAATGGGACCAAATCAAACAGCATGAAAATCATATGTCACTGGGCCTTCTCTGTTTATGAT